TGCCCCAGATGTGAGAAAGCTGCATTATTTAATGCGTTCTTTTACTAATTTTTACAAAAAGTTCGTTTCAGTTACCACCTCTCACTGAATTGTCTCAGCCTCCATCTCTCCTCGGCGAAATACCTTAGCGAACTAGATGTTTTCCGTGCTCTCCGATCCCTTGACCCGTCCAAAGCTATGGGATTGTGGATGGAATTAGTCCTAAGCTACTTAAAACTTGTGCTCTGGCTCTCTACCAACCACTTCATTATCTATTCTCTTTGACTCTATCCCAGTGTTATCTTCCAATAGAATGTGTACTCACTACTAAGACCATTTTTAATCTGGTGATAACCCTCAGTCAGGAATTACAGACCAATTCTCTGTGCCGGTTTGTCTCTAAGGTTTAATATACAATGGTATTGTGGACTTCGTTACATCCTCCATTATAGTTCACCAATTCGGTTTTTACGTGGTCGCTCTACTCTACAACAGCTGCTTATATTTTTTCATTTTATTTTCAACTCCTCTGTACCTGAACAGATGTGGTGTCTGTATCTAGACTTTAGGAAAGCTTTCGGTCTCTGTAGCTCACAGTGAGGCTTCTACTCTCTACAAGCTATGGAAATCGGTATACTGGCAAACTCTGGTCCTGGATGAGGGCATATCTGACCAATAGGTTCAGTATGGATCTGTTTTGGGCAATCTGCCGTCAGACACTTGCCGTTATCTCTGGTTTCCTACCTCCGAGCATCTTGGTATTTCTGTTTTTGTCATGTGAGATCTTTCCCTTCTCTAACCTTTTCATTTTGTAAAATCCGGCTTTGATGCTGCGATGCCAAGTGTTTTATGCCAATTCTTACTCTGCCAGACTGCATACTCTCTCAGACATGACCTTACAAGTGCTCTCTAAGTGGGTGCCCAACACTTGCTCTGTCTGTTAATGAAGAGAAATGCTCTGTTTTACTCACTTCACTACTGGCCACTACTGACAGATGTGCGTGATGGAGTACGGTGGCTAGGTAGCCGAATGAGTTTATGGGTGGGACGAGCCAAGGGGAGTGACGCCCGTACTGAGGCCCGAGGGGAGAAAAAATAGAAGAAAGAATATACACTGTCAGCTACGCCGAGGTAAGGACGCGGAAGGGGAGGTAAGAGGCTCCGATTGAGGTGGGAATATGAAGCAAAGACGTGGGATAGGGAGGCAAACAAAGCGGAGAGGGAGACTGAAGTGTCAGGGGGTGAATAGTCCCCCCCAAAGGTCTAACGAAAGGAGGGGAGGAGGATCAGGAAAGGATGAAAAGAGATACGGTCGTAATTAACGATAGGAGGAGGTGTGATAACAGGGACGATTGGACCTTAAATATAGGGAATGAAAGGAGAGATAGTAGACAGAGCATAAGCTAAAGGACTCAAGAAGTAAAGACGCGTGGGGCAGGGGCGACGGGATAAGGAAATTAAGAAGGAGGTAAAAAGGGGGATGCGGAAAGTGAGCGAAGGGAACTGTGGTATTTAGTGGAGGGGTTAGAAAAGAGGGAGGGGGGAGGGGTAAAACCTTCTTAGACAAGGAGGGCCCGTTTTTCCGCTGTAATGTCCAACTACATTATGATAGCACAGAAATTGCTAGGGGATAAGGCTGTCCCCCACAGGAAAGGATCTTGGATTGATTGTATCAACCAACTTACGGTGGCGACCACATTATCAGCTGATCACATCCAAAGCTTACAAAATGCTAGGTCTTGCTTCGCAGAGTTCTTTCAAACTCCATGTCCGTATTCGCTAAACGCTACCTGTATACATCCCCTTGTACGCTTCTCAGTTTCTCTATTGTTCGGTCATTTGGCATCCACACTTGTTGATGGATATAAAGTGTCTGGAACTCGTTCACAGAAGAGCAAAAAAATTGTCATGAGGGTACTGCAATGGATTATAAAAAATCGTCTGATGTATTTACATCTCTTACCGCTAATGATGGAGTTAGAAATTGCTGATATTATCTTTCTCATCAAGTCCCTAAATTCCCCTCCGAACACTTCAATATACTCAATTATGTCAATTTTGTGACAACCCTACACGCTCATCCTCTCATTTCAAGCTAGGCACTCCTTTGTAAAAACCAATCTGAGAGAAATTTTTCACTTCAATCGTATTCCCCGTCTTTGGATTCTCTACCATCATTTGACATTAATCTCCATATTGCTACCGTCAAGTCTAGACTGCGAAACTTCTTTTGGATTCATTTCATCTCACACTTTGATTCTGATAATGTATGCTCCTATCACTATGTCTGTCCATGCCAAAAATGCTCTAAGCTTCCCATCTCAATGCATTTCACTAAATGTTGTCCATGTTATGTCCTATTCTGTGTAATTTTATTTTTATTTTTATGGCTGCTGGCTTGATGCCTTCAGTCCTCCAACACAGTTGTCACCACCTCCCATGTTATCTGTCACACTTCTTTATGGCATCACCTCCTACAAGCTGAAATAAAAAAAAACTCCCTGCAGCCAAGTTCGCACACAAAATGGATTAATACTCTGAATTGATCACTGTGAGATTTGGAATGCCTCCATTCAAAATGCAATCTCTCCAGCCAAGATCCCATCGTTTATGTTATTCAATGGATGGTAGTCCCACCATCATTCACACTTTTATATAGGATCACTTTGAGATCTTACGGAGTAAGTATATATATATAACGCATTCCCCATAGCTAAGACCCCACAGTAAGTGTATTCAGCCAAAATCATTCAATGGACATTGGAATTTGTATATAGCTACTTACAGTAGCTACTAATAAGAGAACAACACTTAAAGATGAAAAGCACTAAAGTGCAAACCCTCGGCAGAGACACGCGTGCTCGTTAAAGAAGGGTTCCATGTAAGCAAAGTTGAGGACCTACACAGCCTTCTGTGAAAGGCTGCAGAGACGATGTAAGCATGCTACCAAGTGAGGCACACCTTTCGCTGTGCATTTGCCATGTTTTTAGTCCAACAATAGGCTTGGTAAACGTTTTCGGCAGAATTTACGCCTATGTGAGAACGGATTAGGCTGCGCCAGGCACGAAACGCGCGCGCGTGGTCTCCTACCAGGTTGCTGAGAGTCGGTAACAGGCTAGCTACTCTACTAGATAGTCGATACACGCCCCGCATTGCAATCTCTGGCGCCTCCAAGTTAAATACGCCGAGCAAGGGTATCTGGAGGCGAGGGGTCCGACACGGGCCGTTATGACGTTCTAAAAGCCCGTGATTTCAAAAGATTTCCGTGATTTTTTCGAGAGATTTTCACACTTCCGCGTGATTTCTACCGTGATTTCAAGTTTTCTATGGATTTCTAAATTGATTTCACGGTCTCTCCTATAACTTTACCCTCCCTAAAGAGGAGATCCCTTACTGGCATGAACAGTAGTCATGTGCCACAGAGCACTGAGGCCTTTAGCTAATACTGTCGCCGGTGCACATGAGAAATCTGGGCTACAGCAACAGCCTGCAAGAAACAATTTTCACTTCTGTGCCTGTAATGGACAACTGTTAGTGGTGTGGTCATTCATGTTCTCAGATGTACTCAATCACTCTAGGTTCAAGTCGAGGTATATAGCTACACGTAGGTAGGAGTCCCAAGTGAATTTCTACAGCTTCTTTTGCCCTCCTATTTCTCATGCCTCTCCGGCCGCTATCCTGGCATTTACACCTGAGCAAACCTATGCCAAGGCCAAGGCCCTACCCTGATGGACTTATATACACGTTCCTTTGTCGTGTGTATACATAGCCGCACCATAATTATACCGCGGTGTAGCGGCGCCCGGCGGTCGGCCGGATGTCGCGGCTCGCGTGCGCCGCAGCGGGGCGCCGGCCTTGTAGTTTACTATAGTGAACGGAGCTATACGGAGCAGAAAAGCAGCGCACGCACGGAAACTTGATTTCTGATTTCAGTTGATTTCCAACTGATTTCTACAGATTTCTACGGATTTCTGACTATAGGCGTAAGAGATTTCCACCCGTATCGGACCCCTCGTCTCGAGGTAGCGCAATTGGCTCGTTCACTTGCAGGTTTTCACGGCGTAACTCTCGACCTTTATCCGACGCTGAAAAATTATACGTGGTATTGTTTGTGGAGCGATTCATGGCTCGTGAAGTGAGATGGCTTGCGTACTGACAGATAGACAACTGCAGCAAACCCTCGGTGCGCATTCGCCGAGGGTTAATAACTGTGAGGTATATAGCAATAGGTGGGCCAAGCCCAAACTATTGCTTACTGGTGTGGCTATTGATGGAATCACAATAGGTCCCACGGCATTATATATTCCCACTATATATAGTGCCATGTACACCATAGAGCCTAGAGTTAGTCTAGCTACACACAGAGAGGAGACAGCATTTGTTTTTTAGGATGTTATTGTGTTCATGGCTAAACTTACACACATTAATTTTGCTTTTAGCTATGCATATCATTCAATAAGATCTTTCAAATGATGTGGGATAGAGGGGTGGTTGAAAGAACCAAAAAAAGGAAAGAAAGGCCTTGGTTACACAAAAACTGCTTAACAACACATCCCAATATCAATATCTTTGTTGTCTAGACTATTATTATATATAGCTAATAGGCAAAAAATGGACAAAAGGGTGGATGGTGTCATGTAGTTTTTTGCATTGTTTCGCTGTGTAACCACTAACAACGCCTTTTTCTGATATCGCATAGTGAAACTGCAAGACAGACTCAACCTGCTCTTATGTCAGTGCCGCAGTAGATATGCCCTGATACGAGAGATATGTGTCAGCTGATCTCACCTGGCGATCCCATTATCAGTTCATCTCTTCTAGGGCCTACAAAATGTTTAGGTCTTCTACGGAGAGTTTTCTCCAGCTCTGTGTCGGTACCAGCAAAACGCTCTTTGTACATTTCTCCCGTTCGTTCCCAGCTTCTTTACTGTTCTTCTGTATGGCACCCATACCTTTTAGTGGATATAAAATATCTCGAGTATGTCCAGAGAAGGGCAACCAAATTCATCGTCAGCAACCCGCTCTTGGACTACAGGAATCGACTAATATACCTTAATCTGTTGCCCCTGATGATGGAGTTTGAAATTGTTGACATTATGTTTCTGGTCAAGTCTGTAAAGTTTCCATCCGGCCATTTCAATATACACGAGTTTGTCCAGTTCTGTAGTCATTCTACTAGAGCTGGCCATAGTTACAAGCTGAAACACCCCCTCGGTAGAAGTAACTATGAAAGGAACTTTTATTTCAATCGGATTCCTCGTCTATGGAACTCCTTACCTTTCTTCGATATAACTCTTTCTCCTTCTGCAATAAAATCCAAGTTACGAGCATATTTCTGGGATCATTTCATGTCCAACTTCGATTCAAACAATATGTGGTACTGCGCACTGACGGTACTGTTAATTGAGAGGCGCGTTTTGTCTTTCTCCTTGTCGAGGCCTACTTTCACTTGTCTCGATTGGATTTTATGTCTTTCCCTGTTGTGCTGTTGTGTGCCTACTAACCTACCTAACCTACATCTCGGAGAAGAGAAAATGGATGCTCTGATCTGTATTGGCGTGGACCCTGATCTCCCAAGGGACACGCTGGTCTCGGCTCTCCTACGGTTGTGTACAGAAGACGACCTGAGAGGTATGAGAGTAAAACTTTTCGAAACTGCGTTGGATAACGGGTTAGCGCATCCTAAAGATATTCTTGTGAAACGTCTGAAGAGGGCTGTTGGTCCGACATTGGCAACGAAGTATGCAGCCGATATTGCAGATCTCTGTTACACGATAAGAAATGAACAACTTGTCCCACGCACTCTGTTAAAGAACGGCAAGCGCTCAGCTGCAGCTTACTTAGCCTCAAGATCAAGGAACTCTCCTAATTATCAATCACCCCATAAAACCGTTCAATCTAGCCCTCCTCAACCTATTACACCTATTGATGGTGACAAGCCTTCTGACAGTCGTAGTTCCGAATCACTCTGTTGCACTGAGAACAATAGAGCCATCGCCTCTTTGACGCGAGAGCTAGGCAGTCTGAGGCACGATGTCACCCAACTCAAGTCAGATATTGTGAGTCTAAGGAGTACCTCGAACAATGAGACCTGTCTTATTTATGTGAAATTGAAGAATCTTGAGACAGATGATGTGCACGAATCACTTCTAAATGCGATACTGCATGTCCAATTGTTTGCTACTCCATTATTCGTAAGGTATCACTACGAGTAAGAATTCAAAAACAACCACCTTCACTCTGCGTTGTCATCAACTGATACACGCCTGGACATCGTCAGATTATGGAGACCTAATAATGCACTACTGCTCCCAGCTCTTCTTCCTCCAATCCAATAGAGAACGGACACCCTGTCACCCAGCCTCGGCTGAGAACCCCTTCCCTACCACTCTTAATCTTACCACCTGGAATTGTCGAGGCCTTGGCAGTGGGGAACCCTACATACACCAACTGGCTGAAAGTGGGGGTGACATCATTGCAGTAAGTGAGCACTGGCTCTGGCCCTTTGAGGCAGATCGTCTACGCAACATCCACCCGGCCTTTACAGCTGAAATAAAGATCGATGAAAGGCTTCCAGAGAATTCGACCTTGCAATCTCTGGCGCCTCAGAAATTGTTAATACGCGAGCAAGGGTATCTGGATGCGAGGGGTCCGACACGGGCCGTTATGACGTTCAGATTTCTAAAAGCCCGTGATTTCAAAAGATTTCCGCGATTTTTTCGAGAGATTTCCACACTTCCGCGTGATTTCTACCGATTTCCAATGATTTCAAGTTTTCTATGGATTTCTAAATTGATTTCACGGTCTCTCCTATAACTTTACCCTCCCTAAAGAGGAGATCCCTTACAGGCATGAACAGTAGTCATGCGCCACAGAGCACTGAGGCCTTTAGCTAATACTGTCGCCGGTGCACATGAGAAATCTGGGCTACAGCAACAGCCAGCAAGAAACAATTTTCACTTCTGTGCCTGTAATGTACAACTGTTAGTGGTGTGGTCATTCATGTTCTCAGATGTACTCAATCACTCTAGGTTCAAGTCGAGGTATATACACGTAGGTAGGAGTCCCAAGGGAATTTCTACAGTTTCTTTTGCCCTCCTATTTCTCATGCCTCTCCGGCCGCTATCCTGGCATTTCCACCTGAGCAAACCTATGCCAAGGTCAAGGCCCTACCCTGATGGACTTATATACACGTTCCTTTGTCGTGTGTATACATATAGCCACACCACAAACCGTATAATTATACCGCGGTGTAGCGGCGCCCGCGGACTACACGTTTAAGCAGTTTTTGTGTAACCAAGGCCTTTCTTTCCTTTTTTGGTTCTTTCAACCACCCCTCTATCCCACATCATTTGAAAGATATGTTATTGAGCATAGCTAAAAGCAAAATTAATGTGTGTAAGTTTAGCCATGAACACAATAACATCCTAAAAAACAAATGCTGTCTCCTCTCTGTGTGTAGCTAGACTAGCTCTCTAGGCTCTATGGTGTACATGGCACTAGCGGCGAAGCTTTGAGTAGGAATAATGGCGTGGGACCTATTGTGATTCCATCAATAGCCACATCAGTAAGAAATAGTTTGGGCTTGGCCCATCTATTGCTATATACCTCACAGTTATTAACCCTCGGCGAATGCGCACCGAGGGTTTGCTGCAGTTGTCTATCTGTCAGTACGCAAGCCATCTCACTTCACGAGCTATGAATCGCTCCACAAACAATACCACGTATAATATTCAGCGTCGGATAAAGGTCGAGAGTTACGCCGTGAAAGCCTGCAAGTGAACGAGCCAATTGCGCTACCTCGAGACGAGGGGTCCGATACGGGTGGAAATCTCTTACGCTTATAGTCAGAAATCAGTAGAAATCAGTTGGAAATCATCTGAAATCAGCGAAATCAGAAATCAAGTTGCCGTGCGCGCGCTGCTTTTCTGCTCCGTATAGCTCCGTTCACTATAGTAAACTACAAGGCCGGCCCCGCTGCGGCGCACGCGAGCCGCGATATCCGACCGCGGATAAAATATCTGCTAAGCGCTTCTTGCGCGCTCACAGCTCGCGCAATTGCAGAGGCGGAGTCGCTTCCGTGCGCATGCGTATAAAACGGGCGGTGCCTGGCACAAACATGGCGGCGGTAAAATTCAAAAACGTATATACCAGAAGGCAAGTGTATGGAGCCTTCGTTTGTACCGCTAGCGCAACGCTGGAACGACTTAGCTGCGGTGCGTAACACGGATTGGTAATAAAATGTGCGCACGCGAGTATATAATACGTATATACAAGTGCGTGCAAGCTGGCGGCTGTGATGTTCCTCAGGACTCTGCTGAGGGCTAGGGCTAGGGCTAGTTCCTCAGGACTCTGCTGATGGAAAGAACAAGATAATTAATATCAGCTATGTCAAAGAGCTTCGCCATTAGCTCGACCGGCTTCACAGGAGCGAGAGCGGACTTTAGAGCTTCCATTCGCTCCTTGAACGCTGCCATCGTGTCAGTGTTGCCAAACGTTAGCTGGATAGTCAAACGTGGGACGCCGGCCCTCGGTTTCTTGGCCGCTGGAGGCAGACATTCATGTGCGAGTAGCGCAAGAAGCGCTGTTCAGCGCATTCATGCATGAGCAAGTATCGCAAGAAGCGCTGATTCAGCATTGAGAGGCACAAACGCAGCGTGTTTTAGTGCGTGGAAACGGGTGCGTGGTAGCCAGCGGCTCAGGAAATGAAGAGACAGTAGTTTGAACACCGCCATTTTGTCACGATGTGCGCTAAAGTTAATCGATTTTTGCCTGGCACGCCCCTTTTTATACGCGGACTACACGTTTAACAACACATCGCAATATCAATATCTTTGTTGTCTAGACTATTATTATAATAGGCAAAAAATGGACAAAAGGGTGGATGATGTCATGTGTTTTTTTGCATTGTTTCGCTGTGTAACCACTAACAACACCTTTTTCTGATATCGCATAGTGAAACTGCAAGACAGACTCAACCTGCTCTTATGTCAGTGCAGCAGTAGATATGCCCTGATACGAGAGAAAAGCTCTGGGTGCTCTAGCTGCCTGCTCTACAGGTCCATCGACAGGGATAAGAGAAGAGAGATGACTGAGTAACAAGAGAGTAGTGATGGCATTGTGTGAAATGACAATGTATGGGAATGAACACTCCTAGTCAAGGCAGTCTGTGTGGCAAAATGCCAGACTCTCGGTCCATAGCGCTAGCTCCTCCTGTTCGCCGTCTATGGCTATATGGCATGACACAAGCTAATTTCTTATAATTATAGAGAAGTAACTGTTGTCAGAACTCTGGCATTGGACCAGTTTACCCTATGCCCATTGTTGAACACATAAGCATGTTGTCACAATTACTCACTGCTCTTTCGTACTCCTTCGTACGGAAAGATAAAGATCTACCGATGTGCCCTATACGTACGACAAAGCACAATCTTTGCTTCCGATCTACACAATAACATTTACAGCAATCACAACAGAAACAGCGTCTTTAGGTTGCACGATAGTTGACATTGAGTTGAAAGACAGTGCAAAATCACTTCAAAATGCAATTTACTCCAGATATAATTATGTTGGCTCCAGCTCCTTGTCTTCCTTCTTTGCTATATAATCTTGGGACTTGCATCTTGCACAAACCAGAGAATCTATTACCATAGTGTATAAGCCCTGGCATGGATCACTTTCATTAAATCTCACAGTTGAAAGAATGGTAATGAGTGTGCATAATCAGTAAGATGGAAAGAATCAGCTCCATTATATCAAGAGTGGGAGTTATGCACCATATGTGGCCATAAGTATTACAAGTGGAAAAACCATTGCTGTGAAATGAAAGGGGATGTAGCGATGTCACATCATGAAAAAGAGGGAACAAGAAGATGCCTACACCGAGACAGAAAGTCATTCATCCCTACATGGTTGTGTTTCAATCTTTTGCTGCTCCTGAATGCATGAGCATACAAAGTATAGATCTAGCTACAAGACACGGCACTGCGCGATCCCTGAATGGCGCACAGAGTTTTTTCTTCGCGAAAAGGTAGACAAATGATCGTAGTTTCTTGCTGTGTAGCCATTAAGGATATCATGATGGGTGGATTTTCCGCGTGTTTTGGCCATTTACTCATAAAAATTATTTTGCATCAAATGGGCCCTTTTCCCGTAGCGGGTCACATATACATAGAAAGAAACAAAGATGTAGGTGATGGGGTTATGAATGACTTGATGGTTTCAGGAAGCATCCTCTGTGTTGCATATAGCTAGTGAGCTGTAGGGGATTCATATTGATCTCATTAAAGCTATTTTAGATGTTTGGGAGCTATGAAATATTGCAGCCATAATTCCAGCATTCAGCAGTCTCAGATTGAACTTCAGGGTGCCACTGGTGAAAAGGGTGATCAGGTGAGGTTAGACAGACACCGGTTTATATAGTCTGTGTGTGGTCAACATGGTTTCGCCCATTGTTGTAGTGCGTTGCTACGTTGCTGCATGTGCGTGCGACAGCGAGTGGCAAGAAACCAGACAAAACAATCACTTAATCATACTTTGCACATGTGAGCTGTTTAATTAACATGCTATTCTAATTGACATTTTAAGAGACTACACATTTAAAGGTATGATAATTAGTCAGTCAGAAATCAATTTCTTTACCACCTGCATTGACAAAATGGATAAACGGCACAGAGTTCAAGTGCTCATTAAGAGCACATGTTTCACACCCTAAATCTTGATAGGTTATTTTAATTATCTAAGCACAAAACGCGTTCATATGTTCTTAGTCCTATCAAAAGCTACAAATGTACGTTTGGCTTAAAACAGTCTAGGTAGGCTAAGTTCTACAGATTGGTAATTAACGGTTCACACAGAAGAAGCTTTCATACCTTTTTTGAATGTTGCATAGTTAAGTGTAGCTAATCAACACTATTGCTATAGTTCAACTGTCTAATGGTCTCCTGATAAATTGTCCCCCTGTGAACCACAAGCCAGCGAAAACACTTATTGGTTCATTAGGCAGGGTCCTGTATGGTGTACCAAGGGATTGGATGAGGTATATACCTTAATGTTTTTCAGTGATTGCCATTGCTAATGCAGTATTGTTTCCTCCGGCAGGATGGCCCACTGCCACAGCCAACAGACTCCATGAGGGTTCTCCAAACTGCTCAGTGTCATACTGCTTGCTCAGCCACAGATTAAGCATCTCTGTGAGGCAGTCATCCAGTTTTCTATTCTTCTTCTCCTCGACTGCATCGAGCTGCGCAGGATCCAGTCTGAGGGCCAGGCCTACATGCTTCCACCTGACTGTGACTGGCTCCAACACCTTCTTTACATACAACAGGTCATGAGTACCTGTGCAAAGGTGTTAGCAGTGAATGAACTAGATGCATGACGTATGTATGAAGCGACACAGATTTATAAACACCTAGCTACCGAAAAAATATTTTATACACTGTAACACTAACCAAGTTCTTTAGTTTCATCTTGCCTCCCTGCGTATGGATGAAAATTATGCATAAAAGCAAGATAGGTTCTAAATAATATTTTTGCAAAATGTTAAAATAGTAATTAGCACAATAATAATGAAAAGCACTAAAGTGCAAACCCTCGGCGAACTGCGCATGCGCGGTACCACTAATTGATGGGCTTTTCTTTTCTTTTCTTTACTTATTGTATCGCGCTAGTAGCTCGCGGAGAGTCTGGCACGGGCTAGCTACAGTGGTAGATTGCATGCGGGAGTCGATACATGCCCTTCGTTGTGACTTCTTGTGCCTTCAAGATACATAGAGCGCGCGGACGCAGTCGAGGTAAGCCTGTGCTAATTACATATTGGCTTGTTCACTTGGTTTTCACGCCATAACTTTAGAACGCAGTAGTTTTACGAAAATCGCCTTTTTAAAAATCAACCCAGTGTAGCACTGAACCCGATCATATCGCTATTTACCTGATTTCGTGCGCGCGGTGGCAGAAAACGTGGTAACAGACAGAATGACAGACACACTTACGGGACAACTACCGTAACCCTCGCTGTGCATGCGCGCCGAGGGTTAATTACCAAAGCACATCTCATGCATGAAGTTGAAACTAAAGATGCAAAAGTACAGAATCATTTTTTGTGGCTGAGACACAAAGGCTACCATTCCTTCTTTACAGCAGCAGGTGTCCTAAACTAGAGAATCTGTAGAAACTCTGTTTTTTTGTTTCTTTGGAGCTGTGAAATGTTCTTTTTTTCTCTCGGGCTTCGGACTATTCATAATTAAATGAACCCAGAAGTTATTGCTCTTTGCATGGGCATTTGCATTTCTCAAAAGACAATGTATGGCATGTATCTAGCATGTTTTTACCTCTAGTGATCATAATGCCTTTGAGTGATGTCACCAACTCCTTGCTGCGAGGTCTTAGTGCAGGCCGATTCTGAAGACAATCCTCGATCAATTTCAGGAGAGAATGGTCCTCTGGCAAAACCTGTTTGGCTTTCTCTAGAAACTGCTTTCGTCGGTGAAGTTCAGTCACAGCATACACTTTCCCATCATTAGTGTCAGTGTAATTGGGAGGGAGGAGTGGGTGAACTGGAGATTGAATGACAGTGAAGAGAGACAGGTGTCCAAAAGAGAACACATCCAGGCTGGGGTCATAATCTACTCCATGTGCCTCGGGAGGCATGTACTCTAGAGTTCCTGGTATTGAGGTAAGAGTTTCGGGGGTTGCACCAGGGTCAAGGTCCATGATTCGAGAGTTGCCAAAGTCTGTTATCTTGGCCGTCAGCTGAGAGTCTAGGAGGACATTGGTAGCAGTCAAATCACGATGGATTACGGCAGGTGTGCGGCTGTGAAGGTATTCCAGTCCACTGGCTGTGTCTAAGAGGATGGAGGCCTTTCTCTTGACTGGAAGGTCAGTGTTGTCTGGTTTGAGGAGGTAGGCATGGAGGCTTGTCATCATCCGTTCCATCAGAAGAAGAGGCAGCGGATGGTCTACCAGCAGACTCACCCCTTTACACTGGACAATGTTCTTGTGACTTAGCTGCATCATCATATTTAGCTCGCCACACACTTTGAAAGTGATAGAAAGCAGCATTGTAGTGGAAGAAACCTTGAAGACCTTTCCAGCGACAGTTTCACCAGCTGATACTAGTTCAATGACAGAGCCATAGGTTCCACTGCCCAAGACAACTCCAGTTCGTGTGGCCTTCTTGATGTATCTCTTTAATTGTGTGTCCAAGATCCTTCGCAGCTCAGCTGGGGATAAAACATTGTATTAAACACTGCGTTAAATTTTCTGAGAAAAACTCACATGATGTTAGGTCTTGAATGAATGAGAGGTAAGATGATATGTCTGTCTTGCCCTGCTGTTTCGCTATATCTGCAAGAGTCTTTCCTTGCCGGTCCTTAATGTCTGGATCACACAGGTACTCCTCAATCAGTAACTTGAGAACTGGGAGGTGTCCACAGCCCGCAGCAACGTGAAGTGAACTGGCACCCAATACATCAGGAGATAGGGGATTGACCGTCTTTTCATCCAGCAAGTATTTGACCATGTCCAAATTGCCAACTACGCAGGCACAGTGGAGAAGGGTGCAACCCGTGTCCCCTCTGGTCATTGGATCACAATGCCTCTCGTCCACGAGATATTTCACAATGTTTAATTTGTCTCCAAACGCCGCATGGTGGAGAGGTGTGTTTCCAAACATGTTTGTGTAGTGGACGTCGCACTGCTGCTCCTCAACCAGATACTTAACTACATCCAGTGTCCCGTATTGAGCAGCTAAATGAAGTGGAAGAGAAGCATTCCCGTCTCTACACATGGTGTCAACTCTCACCTCTTCCACCAAATATTTCACCATGTCAAGCCTGCCTAGCCCACAGGCATAGTGTAGAGGAGTCCCACGTATGCCTCTAGCCATTGGATCACAGCCCCTCTCGTTAATAAAGTACTTCATCGTTTCTAATTTGCCCGCCACCATTGCTTGAAATAAGGGAGTGTTACCGAAGTTGTCCCTCATGTGAATGTTACACTTCTGCTCCTCGACAAGGTAATGATCCACAGCGAGCTGCCTCATGAAGTGGTGTTGAACCATTTATAGCCTGTTCCTCTTTGTCGACATGAACTTCCTCGATCAAGTACTTCACTATATCAAGTCTGTTTGCAACACATGCGTGCATAAGAATTGTTGCCCCATGTATGTTCCTCAACATTGGGTTGCAGCCTCTTTCATTAATGAGATACTTGACTGTGTCTAACTTCCCACCTGAAACGGCTAGTAAAAGAGGAGTGTTCCCATCTTTGTTTTTGCACTCGGTGTCACAATTCTGCTTCTCTATGAGATACTTTACAACTTCCAGTGTCCCGACAAAAGCTGCAACATGCAGTGGGGTATTGCCGTCCTCATGCTGGGATACACAGTCGACTCCCACCTCTTCCACCAAGTATTTTATTACACTAAGGTGACCAAACTCACAGGCAGAGTAGAGTGGAGTGGCGCCACGCCATCCCATGCACATCGCATTACACCCTCTTTCAGTGATCAAGTATTGGACTATGTCCAGTTTACCTTTAGCTGCAGCACAGTGGAGGGGAACGATGCCATACTTGTTCCTACAATCTACGTCGCACTTTTTCTCCTCGACAAGGTACTTTACTGTATCTAGAGACGCAAACTGCACTGCCTCGTGGAGTGGAGTGGCGTCATTAGCATCTTTTAACATGGGGTCGACATTCCCTTCTTCAATTAGGAATTTAACCATTGCCTGGCAGCCAGACTTGCAGGCCAAGTGCAGAGTGTTTGAGCCATTCTCTCCCTTACACATCGGATCACTACCTCTTTCATTCATCATGTACTGCAAAATTTCTAGTTGTCCATTCAGAGCAGCAACATGAAGAGAATTGTTATGATCTTTGTTAACTTCCTCTAGATTACACTTTTTCTCTTCCACCAAGTATTTTACGACGTCTAAATGACCCTTACTGGAGGCCATGTGAAGTGGTGTGTTGTTATGTTCATCTCTACACTTAGCGAGCAGGTCACTCTTGCTTCCTTCCAATATTGCCTTCACCTGCATTATATTTCCCTCTTTGCTTGCTCAGGTGGACTAAGGCACGGGTCCACAAATATGCACAGATATAGCACATGAAACTTTGGTTTGCTTTTATCATTTATAGTCACACCTTGGATATAGCAAAGGGTTCCATTTGGAAGTGCAATTGTTTTTTGGTAGTATGACCTTATTTTTTTCATATTGAAAGCTATCGTGCAAAACAGAGAGCGGGTGATGAAAGAATCACTTTCAGAATGCATATTACCTTGTCTACACCCCTCTAAACGTTCTTTGTTTGAGTTGATTTTTGATTTGCAAGTCCATATTCCACTCTAACATAGAATCTAAATGCGCCTTGAGTTTACGGACCACTGTTCAGGGGTTGCGAGGTAAATGTACGTTTACGCGTGCATTTCGGTAAAAATAGAGGAAAAACTAACGATTAAAGAAATACTGAAGTTTGCTATGCCAAGGCGCACTAAGATGCATTAAAACCTATCTTTCTACCAGCATAATATGGCAAAATAAGTAGAAAAAGGCTCGTCTTCAGGGGTGTAGAATTGCAGATTGTCCGTATCCTCCGTTCGTGCGGCCATCATGCGGCTATTTGCAATAACGCATGCGCAGCCAGAATAACGCACCCGTGATTTAGTGCCAGCTAGCTAGCTGCAGCGACCTGCTGGCTAGCTCGCAGAGTGAATGCAGAGCCGTGGCCCGACTACTGACCCTTCGGCACAGGGGCACACTGTAAGCTGCGGTCACAACAACCCTTCCTGCCACACCACTTGATAATACTGTTTACACAACACAATACAGGAATGCACTAAATTCCGAGACTGCCACGAGCCTTGGCTCACGAATGGGCGTCACTACCACCACAGGAACCTACGGAACACAGTAGACAAGATTGTTGGACCTAGCTATTATAGGCCAACGCCGCTCTTGTAAAAATGTACGTGCGTCTTGAGTTGAGGTGGCAATAGTCTCGCGTATAATAATATAATAGCCAGCCCCTCAGCGAGACTACGCGGTGAAAGACGATTAGCAACGCAGAATCGACAGTGTCGTCCGCCAGTGGAGACACAAACCGTGAACCGCTAGCGTTTTGAGAAATTACGTCATAATAAAGGTCGGCGCGCGCGTAGAACGCGGCGCGCGCAAAATTTTTGGACCCGTGCCTTAGTTCGCCTGAGTGCAACAAGCAGACAGTTTTTGAGTCTCTATACAGAGAAATCAGCATAATAATTACTGTATAGGAATTTCAGCTAGTAAAACAGTTTGTATGATGACTGAGAGTAAGATCAAAGGAATTCCAGCTAGTCCAAACAACGTAGATGCCTAGTGAGCGCTTCCTGCTCAGTCTACGGGTAGTTAGAACATAAATAGGCCATACAATTTCCCCATACTTTAGCTGTATGTAAACTCATTTGCATAAACCACAGTGGGTCTACAGGAGTTAGACAATAGTAGGAAATTGGCTGCAATTGGGGGCTTTTACACTCTATGTGTGCTGCTGTTTCTTTACCAGAAGGGAGTGTTTTCAGGCTAGAATGGCCAGAAACTGCTCTAGTATATACGCGGTCTGAAAACTAGCGAAAGCTGCTTCCCGACGCGTAGGCTCCTGTGGACTGGAACAGTATTCGGTGACTTTCAGCACGGGTTCAGGGAGAGGTGGTGTGTGTTAAAAAGAGGGTGTTTTGAAAGTTTTTGCGGAATCTCATTGGTCAGAGCCTTATCGCCGGTTGTCATCATACAAACATGTTATACGATGACTTTGCTTAACTTTGTCTAGTGGTTGCACATCAGTTTTGTTAAGACCACTCGGGCTACGCCCTCATACCCTATCAAAACTGGCCACTCGTATACAACCAGTAGACCATGCATATGGCCTGTACATAATTATAGCTAGAGTTTGGAACTGCTTTCATGAGTGAATATTATTTTGTCAATCGTAAAGGGGATAAATTTGAGTGCTCATGCATTGTTATTTGTGGTCAGGCCAAGCTTTGCCGCGTATGGCAGTGAGGTTAGGGAAGTGAATAAAACTCAGGGAGCATTAGTGTGGAGTTTTTTTTCCTGGGGAGTTCGTCTAGAACATGACATAACAAAGGAGTTACTGGTGATAAGGGGTTTGGTACATCACAAGTGCGCAGAGATAGTTTGTAAAAGTTAACGACAATGCCAGACACAAAAGAAGAATGAAGCCACAAAGAGGTATAGGCTTATTTTGACTTCAAAATACTGCACATACCAGGTTCTAAAATGTCAGATTTGGTGATTTTTAACCCTCGGCGCGCATGCGCAGCGAGGGTTACAGTAGTTGGGTTTGTCTGTCTGTCTGTCTGTCTGTCTGTCTCTCTGTCTGTCTGTCTGTTACTCTCAATCTCACTTCTCGGGTGTCTGTTCGTCCCAGAAACGATACCATCTACCCAACAGGCGACGAAGGTCAGAACGATCGGACAGTTTTCTCTGAAAACGCTCCGTTGCGAAGCTAGAGCGCTTCCGCCATTGTATATACGGTTAATGCTAGTCGGCCATTTTATCGCTGCAGAAATTGCGCATGCGCTTATATTTTCAACGGGCTCGGTTCCGCTTGTCTTGAAGGCACGAGAAGTCACAACGAAGGGCGTGTATCGACTCCCGCATGCTATCTACTACTGTAGCTACTAGCGGGAGACCACGAGTAAAAACGCATACTAATAGCAGCCCAGCCCATCAAATTAGCGGTACCGCGCGCGCACGCCCAGTTCGCCGAGGGTTTGCACTTTAGTGCTTTTCATATATTTAGGTTGAATGGGAAGGTATGAAAGAAAGATGCCAATGCTATGGTAGCACCTTGGTGCTTGGTTATCAATAGCTATGTATAGGTTAACGCCTGGTTCTGAAGCGGTATACCGGCGATATCCCCGAAGCTGTTTACTCTAGCACCCGAGGGGGTTATATACAGTAAACAGCTGAGGGGATATCCGGTACCGCTGAATGTAACCAAGGCGTTAACCTATTTGTAACCTACTAATTGCCTAGCAACCATTATTACTTTATCACAATTTTGCCAGGGTTGTGAGAGAAATCGGTGGGCGATACGAGGGAAAGGAGGCCGAGAGCAAGCTTGAGTGACCCCTAGCGTAGTGTAGCGGGCTGCTGTAGGGCGGACCAAGTAGAGAAGACAAGACGCCGCGCAGACCTGGAATGACGTTCTTTGGGGTCTCCTTCGTACACCACGTACGTTACAGCTCAGCTATGGTGCAGCTAAGCCTGAAGCGTGTTCAAAACGACACAAGTGACGCACGGCACACAGCCCGCTCACTCCAGCTCTCGCCTTTTTCTGGCCTGCGCGCGATCTTCTCGCTTACTGGCTCGCCACTTCCAGCTTTGGATGTAGCCACAGCCATCTACAGCTTACCAAGAAGCACTGGCCATTGTTTGCTCATTAGATCGTGTAAACTGTGGCCACATTGACTCAATTAACGACAGCCACACATCCTCGGAATATGAGTATTGACGGGCTGGCGGCTTAGGTACTGGGAATAATACTACGGCAGTGGCTTTGAAGATGAGCAAAACTAGGCTACAAAATTATGTTTGTGGTTCTTGTAATAGGATGCCTAGCTACAACTATACACTGCACAAGACAAAAGTTAGAAGGTATGGGAGAGGAAAATGAAAACTGCCAGTGTTTACTCTGGTGTGCAACTACAAGTAGCTATGTAACAACCCTACCGTGAGAGTTAACCAGTGTGACAATCATGGTTAAGAAAGTTTGCCGCTTGAATGCTCAAGCAAAACCAAAGCAAACTTAGCCGTGATGGGACTTGAGCTAATACCAAAATTTACGGACACAACAGTGTTTACGTGTCATAACACGTAGCTAGCTTGCAGCGAAAAAGTGTGAAAACATTTTCCAAGTGTACCTCGACCCCAGTTTTATGTACCCTAAAGAAGTATTGAAAGTGAAGTGTGAGTCTATAGGACTGGTGGAGCAACCCCCGTCTTTGCTTGTGTTGTATATCTCTTTGGCGGGTATACGCAATTATTATGTAACTTTTGAGTGGTCAGGAATAATTATTTAGCTACTGGCACACAACCTGTAGCTACATGTTTACATAGCCCACTACTTACTGGTTCCTGTTTGGAAATCCCCTGGAGTGACCACAGAGGCCTTGGGGGTGTGTCCCACGCGAACGGATGAAGCGCCTTCTCTACTGCCGCTGAACGGCTTTCTATGATAGATTTGCCGAGCTAATGTCTCTTTAGCAAGCAAAGGGGCTTGTCTGGTAAGCTATTTACCTCTATCTAGCCAGTGGTAGGCACTAAAAATCTAGTGTTAGACCATTAGCTGCATACCTTCGAGCGTGCGGTACTTACCCGGTGCGGTACTGAAAGCTTTTCTGCAGTCATCTCTGGGTCCAAGCGGAAGGTAGCTGGCATTATCATGTAGTATAGAGATGTAGCAACCTGCGCCAAGAAAACTAGCTGGCAAAAAGCGCGAGCAGATTGCAAGAAGCTTTGCAAACAAACTGCTTTCACTAGTGTCGCAAAAAAGCGCTTTCGCCCACACGCGTAGATTTACGTAGGGCGCATAAATGCGCCTTCACCCGTGAAAGAGATAATACAAACAGTCCTCCATGCATGACATCATAACAGGCAGAGTGGGAGAGCCAGGAATTTAGGCTATGAAACTCGTGAGTGTAGTGTAACCTATATTTTTATTGGGAAAGTTATGTATAGTTACAGATTGGACAGACAAACTTAGGGCCATGCATCATAGCTAAGTATGTTTCATCACTTTGCCCTAACACATAATCTCCATTCCACATAAAATTATAAGACACACAGGACATAGTTGCAGATGTGTAGGGGAAAAAGAGCATTATTCATTATGTGGGAGTAACCTGAGACTTTGGGTGGGTCAGGGCTTGCACTGCTGGTATCACCATCTTGACTCATTACCTCCCTCTCCGGTTCTTTGGTAGAGTGTGTGGGTAGCACAGTGTTTTGCATCTGACAATGAATGTGAAAAATTATTCGTCAACGTCATCATCAATGAAACATACCTCCACAACCGAGTGCTCTGTCTCAGTTGAAGATCTAGCAGTGTGATGGTGACTGGTATTAGTCCCAGGCCCCAACCAGTCAGCCTGTGCCCCTCTGGAGTTGTAGTGTAAAAGAAACTCCCTCACATTACTATTCTTTGCATAATCGATTGGTCTGAGCCCGTTTTTGTCCGTGCACGAAGGATTTACTCCCTGCTCGTCGACCAGATATCTGGCCACAGTGAGGTGGCCTCCTCTGGCGGCTGAATGAAGCGGAGTGGCACCGTCCCGCTCCCCTGAAAACTGGGCTGACTCCTTCCGTCTCTATCAGATATTTAGCCACCTGTACGTGGCCGGCCTCGCAGGCAACTCCGAGCGGCGTACGTCCCGATTCGTCTTTGGAGAACGGGTTAGCGTTTTGCTCCGAGACCAAGTTAGCGACGGCGGCCACATCTCCTGACGCGCAGGCCTGAATAAGTAGTAACGACAAGGAGAGGGCCACAGCACCACGCACGACATTCGACCGCTGAGCTGTAGCACCTACACCGTTGTTTTTTTCCCCACTTTCCAGCTTAGGTATCCGTGGGCCACGGTTAGTGAGTCCATGCGGCTCTGCCATGGTAATTGGCGAGCGGGGGCGTGATTTCTAAACGTCCGTAACTGCGCATGCGTTAGGATTACGCTCTCCGAGGGTAGCGAACCACGCCTTCTCAATCCGCGCGCTGGAGAAGGCCTGGACTTGTTCATAATTACTCCCGCGCGCGGATTGACGGTGTGCTCCGTGAGGCTATATCTCCAGATAGCTATAACCGGCGTGGCCGTCCCGAACAACATTTTGCCGACCTGCGTATATATTCTGTTGCGCGCGCGATCAGGGAACCCCCCTGCACTGCTGACTGCTGAGTTAGCAGCAAATGGCGTCGTTCAGTGTCTGCCGTGGAAGGGCTACAGAATTTAGAGTAGCCCTGCACACCTCCGTGGAACCTACAGACGTTCAGTTAAAAAATGAGCGCTGCAGGTAAGGAGATACCGGGTCTGAAAAACAAGAAGATGATGATGACACGAATCGCGTACAGGCGAAATCTCGTGTGGAGAACTGAGGGCGCGTATAAAGCCATAGGCATATGTATAGCTAGATATTGGCCTCTAGACTATCGTGATTTTTGAAGGTATGGTGAGTCATTCTGGCCTGGATTTGAGGCGTTTTGTACGCGAATCACGTGAGATTTGACCACATTAATTAGTGCAACATAATTACATATAGCTATAGCTATTCCTTCTAGGTGTGAAATATTTTTGCGCTTTTGGAGAACTGGAGCCACCAGCTTTCAATTGAAGATGATGATGACATAGAGGTGCGTTTCTCATTTTCTGCTAATTATAATTTGTATCATTATTGCCATTCCAGACTAGCGGTATATTATAGTAAACACAGACTAAGCATAGATGCAGATGTTGCCCTCTGGTTGGAAAAAAGGTGCTTGGATGGTGAAGATGGTGGGAGCCGATGCTTTTGTTTTGTTCACAAGTTAATTACACAAGGAGTTCGATAGCTTCAAAGAAGAATTCAAGCAATACACAAAAAGAGGATTTAGCATTCTCCCAATGAACGAACTACTACACCATTGGAACAGAAGCCGTGCTACTCCCTCCTCCTCTGCAATCTTATTCAACAAAACATACCGAGTATACAGAAGTTCAACTTTGTGACTGGCTGGAAAATGTACGAGAAATACACAGCACTTTGGTGTAACCAGTTTCATAATTATTTTGGCTGATGCACCCAAATTGCGTGGGCGTCGATATTTTAGTTATTTTTCAATAGCATGGCTAAAACCTCGTGAATTATAGTGATTTTGGTACCGTTCGGATTTTTCACTCTTGTTTTACAGCTTATAGCTATTCATATTCCTCCTCCATACATTCTCTATGGAGAGAAAACCAGTGCGCGACTTTCACCGGAGCGAACGGTTCCTCGCATTATGCGCAGTAGCGTTCTTT